TAAAGCAGGTCTAAAGCAGGTCTAAAGACGGGTCTGAAGACAGGTCTAAAGCAGGTCTAAAGACAGGTCTGAAGACAGGTCTAAAGCAGGTCTCAAGACAGGTCTGAAGACAGGTCTGAAGACAGGTCTGAAGACAGGTCTAAAGCAAGTCTAAAGACAGGTCTAAAGACAGGTCTGAAGACAGGTCTGAAGACAGGTCTAAAGACAGGTCTGAAGCAGGACCAAAGCAGGACTAAAGCAGGTCTCAAGACAGGTCTAAAGACAGGTCTAAAGACAGGTCTGAAGACAGGTCTGAAGACAGGTCTAAAGCAGGTCTAAAGCAGGTCTAAAGACAGGTCTGAAGACAGGTCTAAAGCAGGTCTAAAGCAGGTCTAAAGACAGGTCTGAAGACAGGTCTAAAGCAGGTCTGAAGACAGGTCTAAAGCAGGTCTTAAGCAGGTCTAAAGACAGGTCTGAAGCAGGACCAAAGCTGGTCTAAAGACAGGTCTGAAGCAGGACCAAAGCAGGACTAAAGCCGGTCTAAAGCAGGTCTAAAGACAGGTCTAAAGCAGGTCTAAAGAAGGTCTAAAGACAGGTCTGAAGCGGGACCAAAGCAGGTCTAAAGCAGGTCTAAAGCAGGTCTAAAGACAGGTCTGAAGCAGGACCAAAGCAGGACTAAAGCAGGTCTCAAGACAGGTCTAAAGACAGGTCTAAAGCCAGGTCTAAAGACAGGTCTAAAGACAGGTCTAAAGACAGGTCTGAAGACAGGTCTAAAGCAGGTCTGAAGACAGGTCCAAAGCAGGTCTAAAGCAGGTCTAAAGACAGGTCTGAAGACAGGTCTAAAGAAGGTCTAAAGCAGGTCTAAAGCAGGTCTAAATACAGGTCTAAAGCAGGTCTAAAGAAGGTCTAAAGACAGGTCTGAAGCAGGACCAAAGCATGTCTAAAGCAGGTCTAAAGACAGGTCTAAAGACAGGTCTGAAGACAGGTCTGAAGACAGGTCTGAAGCAGGACCAAAGCAGGTCTAAAGCAGGTCTAAAGAAGGTCTACAGACAGGTCTGAAGCAGGATCAAAGCAGGACTAAAGCAGGACTAAAGCAGGTCTAAAGACAGGTCTAAAGCAGGTCTAAAGAAGGTCTAAAGACAGGTCTGAAGCAGGACCAAAGCAGGTCTAAAGCAGGTCTAAAGACAGGTCTAAAGACAGGTCTGAAGCAGGACCAAAGCAGGACTAAAGCAGGTCTCAAGATAGGTCTAAAGACAGGTCTAAAGACAGGTCTGAAGCAGGACCAAAGCAGGACTAAAGCAGGTCTCAAGACAGGTCTAAAGACAGGTCTAAAGCCAGGTCTAAAGACAGGTCTAAAGACAGGTCTGAAGACAGGTCTAAAGCAGGTCTGAAGACAGGTCCAAAGCAGGTCTAAAGCAGGTCTAAAGACAGGTCTGAAGACAGGTCTAAAGCAGGACTCAAGACAGGTCTAAAGAAGGTCTAAAGCAGGTTTAAAGACAGGTCTAAAGACAGGTCTAAAGCAGGTCTAAAGACAGGTCTGAAGACAGGTCTGAAGACAGGTCTAAAGACAGGTCTGAAGACAAGTCTAAAGACAGGTCTAAAGCAGGACCAAAGCAGGTGTAAAGCAGGTCTAAAGAAGGTCTACAGACCGGTCTGAAGCAGGACCAAAGCAGGACTAAAGCAGGACTAAATACAGGTCTGAAGACAGGTCTAAAGACAGGTCTGAATACAGGTCTAAAGACAGGTCTAAAGCAGGTCTAAAGCAGGTCTAAACACAGGTCTAAAGACAGGTCTGAAGACAGGTCTGAAGACAAGTCTAAAGACAGGTCTGAAGCAGGACCAAAGCAGGTCTAAAGCAGGTCTAAAGAAGGTCTACAGACAGGTCTGAAGCAGGACCAAAGCAGGACTAAAGCAGGACTAAAGCAGGTCTAAAGACAGGTCTAAAGCAGGTCATAAAAAGGTCTAAAGACAGGTCTGAAGCAGGACCAAAGCAGGTCTAAAGCAGGTCTAAAGCAGGTCTAAAAACAGGTCTGAAGCAGGACCAAAGCAGGACTAAAGCAGGTCTCAAGACAGGTCTAAAGCAGGTCTAAAGCAGGTCTAAAGACAGGTCTAAAGACAGGTCTAAAGACAGGTCTAAAGCAGGTCTAAAGACAGGTCTAAAGACAGGTCTAAAGCAGGTCTAAAGCAGGTCTAAAGACAGGTCTGAAGACAGGTCTAAAGACAGGTCTGAAGACAGGTCTAAACACAGGTCTAAAGCAGGATTAAAGCAGGTCTAAAGCAGGTCTAAAGACAGGTCTAAAGCAGATCTAAAGAAGGTCTGAAGACAGGTCTGAAGCAGGACCAAAGCAGGTCTAAAGACAGGTCTGAAGCAGGACTAAAGACAGGTCTAAAGCAGGGATTAAAGACAGGTCTAAAGCAGGTCTAAAGCTGGTCTAAAGCAGGTCTAAAGACAGGTCTGAAGACAGGTCTAAAGCAGGTCTAAAGAAGGTCTAAAGACAGGTCTGAAGCAGGACTAAAGCAGGTCTAAAGCAGGTCTAAAGACAGGTCTGAAGAAAGGTCTAAAGCAAGTCTAAAGACAGGTCTGAAGACAGGTCTAGGGACAGGTCTGAAGACAGGTCTAAAGCAGGTCTAAAGCAGGTCTAAAGACAGGTCTAAAGCAGGTCTAAAGACAGGTGTAAAGACAGGTCTAAAGCAGGTCTGAAGACAGGTCTAAAGCAGGTCTAAAGACAGGTCTGAAGACAGGTCTAAAGCAGGTCTAAAGACAGGTCTGAAGACAGGTCTAAAGCAGGTCTAAAGACAGGTCTAAAGACAGGTCTGAAGACAGGTCTAAAGACAGGTCTAAAGCAGGTCTAAAGACAGGTCTGAAGACAGGTCTGAAGACAGGTCTGAAGACAGGTCTAAAGACAGGTCTGAAGACAGGTCTAAACACAGGTCTAAAGCAGGATTAAAGCAGGTCTAAAGCAGGTCTAAAGACAGGTCTAAAGACAGGTCTAAAGCAGGTCTAAAGTAGGTCTAAAGCAGGTCTAAAGACAGGTCTAAAGCAGGTCTAAAGACAGATCTAAAGCAGGTCTAAAGACAGGTCTAAAGCAGGTCTAAAGCAGGCCTAAAGACAGGTCTAAAGACAGGTCTAAAGCAGGTCTAAAGACAGGTCTAAAGCAGGTCTAAAGCAGGTCTAAAGCAGGTCTAAAGACAGGTCTAAAGCAGGTCTAAAGCAGGTCTAAAGCAGGTCTAAAGCAGGTCTAAAGACAGGTCTAAAGCAGGTCTAAAGACAGGTCTAAAGACAGGTCTAAAGACAGGTCTGAAGCAGGTCTGAAGCAGGTCTAAAGCAGGTCTAAAGAAGGTCTAAAGACAGGTCTGAAGCAGGACCAAAGCAGGACCAAAGCAGGTCTAAAGCAGGTCTAAAGACGGGTCTGAAGCAGGTCTAAAGCAGGACTAAAGCACGTCTAAATTCTTTTGGTTAAACCTTGTGACCTACAGTTGCTCCTTCAGGAAATCCTCACCCAGACCGGTCCCAGACACTTCTACTGCACCGGACCTGGACCTGGACCTGGACTTGGACTAGATTTGACCTTTGGGTCATGAAGAATATTTCTTACACATCTGGACCGGATTTAGACCAGATCAGAACCGGCTCTGGTCTGGGTCTGGTCCTGAATATTAAAGAGCACATTCAGGGTCTCACCCACGGAGTCTGTGTGATTCAGCTCTTGTGCTCATGGAGTCGGACCTCTGAAGTTAAGCAGGGCAAGGCCTGGTTAGTACTGTGATGGGAGACCTCTAGGAACATCAGCAGTAAAGTGCTAAACTGTGGTTGTGTCCTTAGGCAAGACACTTCATCCACATTAGATAGAGTCTGGTGTATGTGAATGGTTGGTGGTGCTGGCACAGACTGGATGCCTTGCTTTTGCCAGTGTGCCCCAGGGCAGCTGCGCCTACAGTAGTAGTTTTTCACCACTTTGTTTGGAGTGAACAAATAATGAGACTAGAAAGCTGGGTTTGCATGTTCTGCCTGTGTCTGTGTTTGCATGTTCTCCCTGTGTCTGTGTTTGCATGTTCTGCCTGTGTCCGTGTTTGCATGTTCTCTCTGTGTCTGTTTGCATGTTCAGCCTGTGTCTGTGTTTGCATGTTCTGTCTGTGTCCGTGATTGCATGTTCTCCCTATGTCTGTATTTGCATGTTCTCCCTGTGTCCGTGTTTGAATGTTCTCCCTGTGTCTGTTTGCATGTTCTCTCTGTGTCTGTTTTTGCATGTTCTCCCTGTGTCTGTGGAATGCGCTGGACGTGTGGTGAAGGCAGAGGCCAAAACACACAAACAGGAAACAGGAAGTACATGCAGCCGATAACCAATCAGAGCGCGGACCTGACCCCGGCATCTGGGCCAATCAGACAGGGTGATACAGGAGCAGGAAACATCAAACATTCTCTGCCTCTGTGTGAACGCTGAGCCACAGGTAGAACAGATTTGTGAATGAAACACCCAGTGGGACTCAGACAACCCCCAATGTAAGACCCCAGGACATGTTTAAAACAGCAGCACAGATCTCCACAGCCGTGAGAGGCAGACGCTGTACACAATGCTAACCCGTTAGCTCAATGCTAGCTCTCTCTGGTCTCTCTCTGGTCTACTCTGTATCTTTCTGGTCTCTCTCTCTGGTCTCCCTCTGTCTCTTTCTGTTCTGGTCTCTCTCTGGTCTCTCTCTGGTCTCTCTTTCTGGTCTCTCTCTCTGGTCTCTCTCTGGTCTCTCTCTGTCTCTTTCTGTTCTCTCTCTGGTCTCTTTCTCTCTGGTCTCTCTCTGTCTCTTTCTGTTCTCTCTCTGGTTTCTCTCTGTCTCTCTCTGGTCTCTCTTTCTGTTCTTTCTCTGTTCTCTCTCTGGTCTCTCTCTCTGGTCACTCTCTGGTCTCTTGATGGTAACAGCTACGCCTCCTTCCCTGCAGGAGTCTCGTCAGGATGCCGCTCCTCAAGCACCTCCCTGTTCTGAGAGGAGGAGGTCCCACTCTGCACAACGCGCTGGTGCTGCGGCGCATGAGCCTCAACATCACTGCACACATGAACCCATTCAACGACCAGGGTGAGACGCTAACACAGGCACTAGCACAGGCGTTAGCACAGGCGCTAACACAGGTGTTTAAACAGGTATACTGTCTCTGGTCTCTCTCTGGTCTCTCTCTGGTCTTTCTCTTTGGTCTCTCTCTCTGGTCTTTCACTCTGGTCCCTCCCTCTGGTCTCTTCCTTTGGTCTCTTCCTTGTTTCCCTCTGGTCTCTCGCTGATCTCCCCCTGGTCTCTCCCTGGTCTCGCTCTTGTCTCTCTGTTCCTCAAGTCCCACCTCCCTCTGATTGGCAGGTGGCTGGTCCCCTGGCTCCTCCCTCCTGGATGGCCACTCCCCTCGGGACAGGAATCCCTTTGAAGACGAGGAAGATGAGAACGAGGCCAATGAGGGACGAGGGGGCGGAGTCAAAGGCGGGAAAGGCTTGTCCTCTGGGAAAGGGGGCGGGTTCAAGCTTGTGTCGCCGCTGAAGAGTCTAGGTAAACTGGGGCGTAGCCTGAGGTCGTCAGGGCGGGGCAAAGATGGCTCCTCCCCCTCGCTCGCTGACTCACCGGGAGAGAAGAAGAAGAAGAGAGGGAGGCGGAGCTCCGAGGGCTCGCTACTCAGGTCAGCCAATCACAGAAAGGCATACTGTTGCTAAGGAGAACAATCAGGAAATATGGAACTAATTCTATTCAATATGATCTATGAAGTCTGAGATTATTGTTATTCTCTGTAACCTGGTCTGTCCCAGTCCATCCCTCTCTGGTCTCTCTCTCTGGTCTCCCTCTGGTCTTCCTCTCTGGTCTCACCCTGGTCTCCCACCTCGGTCTACCCCTGGTCTCCTCGATCTCACCCTGTTCTCCCTCCTCATTCTCCCTTGGCCTCCCTCGGCCTCACCTTGTTCTCCCTCGGTCTCCCCCTGGTCTCCTTGACTCCCTCTGGTCTCCCTCGGTCTACCCCTGGTCTCCTCGGTCTCGCCCCGGTCTCCTCGGTCTCACCCTGGTCTCTTCCTCAGACTCGCTGGTCGCTGCAGAGACTCGTTCTCTCGTAAAGACTGTATTTCTAATGGAGACCAGGAGGAGGACACTCAGAGCCGCAGGATCAGCCTCATGAAGATGGTTCTGGGGAAGACCAAGAGGGAGTCCGGGTCTGAGCGGGTCTCAACCGGACCGGAACCAGGACCAGGACTGGACTCAGACCCAGAGGAGGTGGTGAAGCCCAGAGAGCCACTGTCAGGTGAGAGACCAGGACTGGACCAGGACCTTCTTTAGACCTGCTTCAAATCCTGGTCACATTTTATCAACTTAAATAAACGTTTTGTTAAAGTGATTTTTATTTCATGTCTGGACCTGATGAAACCGGAGCACTGAGAGAGTGGGGAGAAAGAGGGGGAGAGGGGGTGAGGTGAGGAGAACGGGAGAAAGAGGGGGTGAGGGAGGGTGAGGTGGATAGGGGCGTGTGCAGTCGGTCGTGAACAGGACATTCCTCAAACTAATTTCAACAAAACTATCAACTCCAGGTCAAGGACAGGACACAGAGGAGACCAGAGAGAGACCAGAGGGAGACCAGAGAGAGAGAAAGACCAGAGCGAGACCAGAGCGAGACCAGAGGGAGACTAGAGAGAGACCAGAGAGAGACCAGAGAGACACCAGGACATGGTGGGGAAATGTCTCTCTCCTCTCACTTCTGTTCTGTCTCTGATATGAACTGTGTCCTTCAGACGTCCTTTTAAGGTCATGGGGCTTCCTGTTTACTGTCAGCGCTCCATAATCAGTTCTAAACATTTGTTATTAATGAGACTAAAGTTACAGACCCCAGCTTTAAACATGTGTTATTGGAATGTTCCTTCTCGAGTTTCTGCTCAAACACTGCAGCTTTGTGTCTGGTCCTGACGCTGCAGAAACCGCATCAGCAGGATCAGTGGTCCCCAACTTCTCTTTCTGGTGTCTCTCTGGTCTCTCTCTCTGGTGTCTCTCGCTGGTCTCTCTCTCTGGTCTCTCACTCTGGTCTCTCTCTCTCTGGTGTCTCTCTGGTCTCTCACTCTGGTCTCTCTCTCTGGTCTCTCACTCTGGTCCCTCTCTCTGGTGTCTCTCTGGTCTCTCACTCTGGTCCCTCTCTGGTGTCTCTCTGGTCTCTCACTCTGGTCTCTCTCTCTGGTCTCTCACTCTGGTCCCTCTCTCTGGTGTCTCTCTGGTCTCTCACTCTGGTCCCTCTCTCTGGTGTCTCTCTGGTCTCTCACTCTGGTCTCTCTCACTCTGGTCTCTCTCTCTGGTCTCACTCTCTGGTCTCTTTCATGATGAAAGCTGTTTGTTCAGCTGAGACCAGAAACTTCACAGATCATTAAAGTGACACTCTAGACCAGGGTCTGGACTGAGACCAGGTCCAGACTGGGACGATCATATCTGAGTGTGAGCTTTAGCTTCTGTGGCTGTAAAAGGTATTTTACATCAAATATGATTTTTATTTTTATTTAGATTTAAATTCTTTCTTGGATTGAACCAAAGCTGAAGCTAAAGAAGACTGTGTTTATTATAATGAGGTGTAACAGGAGAACGTCTGAAGTTTGCAGATGGGAAAAGATCCAAAGGCCACAGAACGTGACCGCCTGCGGCCCCCAGGCCGCACTTTGCCTATGTCTGGTCAGAGCTTTAGAACATGATAGACATTTTGCCTCAGATGAACTGTGACCCTTAGTGCTGGAGATACTGCAGCTGGTGAAGAGGCGTGACCTGCTCTTGGCCGACGCCCACATCCTGGAGCTGGAACAGGAAGTGAGCGCATCATGTGACCAGAGCGACGAATCAGGACGAGACGACGGGCGGCGGCGCGCGAAGGACGTGGAACTTCTGTACGAGGAACTTCAGAAGGAACTCTGGTCCGTGGTCAGAGAGGCTCTTAGGAACCCCACCGCAGGACCCAACCTGGGACTGGTGGTCCAGGTAATGAGGCAGTAGACCAGGACTGAGGCTGTAGATCCAGGACTGAGGCTGTAGACCCAGAACTGAGGCTGTAGAACCAGGACTGAGGCTGTAGACTCAGGACTGAGGCTGTAGATCCAGGACTGAGGCTGTAGACCCAGAACTGAGGCTGTAGACCCAGAACTGAGGCTGTAGAACCAGGACTGAGGCTGTAGACTCAGGACTGAGGCTGTAGATCCAGGACTGAGGCTGTAGACCTAGGACTGAGGCTGTAGGTTTTGTTGTAGGTGCTGGAGCAGGAGGAGAAGGTGGACCAGGACTTTCTCGGGTCTCACACAGAGGTCTGGGTCTCCTCTGGACCGAGGCCTCGCAGACTGAGGCAGCGATGGGAGGAGGCGGTTGCGGAGCTCGCCCACTCCTCGCTCCCGCTCCAGACCCAGTTCTTGGCCGGGTTCCTGGACCGGTTCTTGGACCAGATCCGGATCAGAGTGGTGGAAGACCTGACCGCCGCCAAGAGGAACGTGGTGTCCATCTACCCCCCAGAGTACCAGCCTTTTCAGGTACGGTCTCACTGGTCCAAAGCACGTATCAGGAGTGTAACATCACCAGAGTGTGACATGACCAGACTGTGACATCACCAGAGTGTGACATGACCAGACTGTGACATCACCAGAGTGTGACATCACCACAGTGTGACGTCACCGCAGTATTGGTCTTAGTGGGGAAGAAGCCAATTTTAACATAAGCTGGAGCCTCTTTCCTTATATGGGCATGTTTTGTCCATGTCTAGAGTTAACATTGTCCATCTATATGCAGTCCATGTTAGCATTGAGCTAGTGTGTTAAATTAATTGTAGATTGGGACTATTATATATATACAGTCGATGGGTTAGAGTTCAGGTCGGCGTTAGCTAGCTTCACATAAAGACACTGAGACACATGTGACATCATCCTGGGTAATTCCAGGTGATGTTTTCTTGCTCCCAGGTTTAGTTCAGATGTTTCAGGCATTTGAGGGTTCTGGTTCCTGGTTAAGCTCAGATGTTTTCTGGTTCCAGGTGTATGCTCAGAGTTACCACGCTGCGGTGATGAAGAGGCTGAGCTCCATCACTGAGACGCAGCTGCAGACGACTGACTGCTACGCTCTGCTGGACTGGGTCTACAACGTGTACCACCGGTACTGATGCTAATGCTAATGCTGGTAGTAATGATTCTTTTAATGATGCTGCTGATACTAAGGGTGCTAGTGCTAATGCTGCAAGTACTGATGCTTATTCAAATTCTGCTATTCATAATGCTGCTAATGCTGATGCTACTTGTTGTGTGTTGTGATAATAAGAGCACTCGCAGAAAGGGTCAACTTTGAGTTTAATCATCACTGGCAGAAGGAACACACTCTGCTATACATCGGTGCTCTCATAGCACCATAGTGGTAGGTCACACTAGCAGCACTCTACACTACTGCTCCTGATTATACCAATGCTAATGCTGCTGATGCCACTGTTACTGCTAGTGCCAAGGGCGTAGGTTTGCGTGGGGACCATGGGGACATGTCCCCACCAATATTTGGTGAGGACTAAAAAGTCCCCACCAAAATGACATGATGTCCCGTGACCCGGACGGTCCGGGACACATGTCTTCCGTTTGTGCATACGTCGCGCCTCCTCCTCGCCTCCAGAGCAACAGCAGCAGCAGCAGCACGTGACCCGTTCCGTTCTCTGCAGTGATTGGCTGTCTTCTTCAGCGCCAAACTGAAGCACTGTTTAAAACTGAAGCGACTGTTTAATTTTTAAAAGTTAGCCAGCGTGAAGCAAGTGTTTTTTTTCGTTCCCTGAGCGTTGTAGCACGTGAGTAATCAGAGGAAAGTTCTGTAGATCTATTACCATTCAAAGTACTTACGTTATTTCTAATCTGTCAGCGCACTGTTTAATGTTCCGAGGAGCTCACACGGCACAGAGACAGAACAGAACTGGCTCCAATAAAGAAACAGGTTGGTTGAAAGGCTGAAAAAATACTTATTGTGCTCTTACTATCCAAAATGTATAAGTGGGTGTGTTGTGTGAATCAGGATAAACTAGGGATGAAAATATTCCACGGATCCACGATTTACAACCTTTATCTGCTGATAATGTAATTTCTGTGAAATGTGTGACAGCGGGCACTTGCTGTTATTTGCTCTAAGCACATTCAAGCGATGCACTCGAATGTGCACGTCCTGGTGCAGCTGCTGCCGCTTTGTAATGACAGCCGCGGCGCTCAGTGAAAGCACAGCTCTAACATGGTACCGAGCTCGGACCATATGCAGACAGAACCATGTTGCAAGTGCGGGTCTCCCTCGTATCTCCCGCGTTTCTCCCCTGTGTCTCTGACATGTCTCTCCCCTGACTCTTCCCAAAGCGCAACCAGCGCTCCCGAAATTAAAGCTCGGATACGTAAATTTTCCATTGCGTTAACGATGCATGCTGGTTGTGCGCAAAACACACCACAACAGGTCATTTAAGTTTTTATTTTGCATACTTGAGAGCCCTGTGAGTCATTACTTGCCTTTTTGGGTTGAGAGTGGAATAAAAAAAAGAAAATATAGAAAAATCCACACTGTTACTTATTGCCAAACTCTTGTTAACTCATTGTATTGAGAAATACTATGTAACTTTTGACATTGGCCAAGTTATATAAATGATTCTGCAGTTCATGTATATGAATGTCTGTTTTTGATTGTCTATACCTTCTTATATAATTTAGAAAAAATGCCACCTCCACAAATAAGATAAAAGATATCAGGAGCTTTTTTAACAGTTGGAAAGTAAGTAAGAGAAAGCACAAGTAATAGCAAATTATGAATTGTGATGATTAATCTTCTGTTAACATACATAGGAAACTCAACCAACAAGAGAGAACAATATAGGGAATGTTGAGGTAGAAGCAACAGGCCCTTCAGTGCATCAGGCGAGGTTGGAATTTTGTAGGTATGCATGGGACTATGAATTGTTTTTAGAGATTGATCGTATATGTCAAACAATGTAGTGAGCTACTCACTGTAGATTCTAATTCAATATTTTCTCCTCTGTTTTTATTTATTATAGGAAATTGAAAGATCAGAGCATGATTTATTTCAAGTATCGAGAGCAGTTCCTGAACTGTTAGAGCCTCAGGTGAGGGCTATTATGTAGATTTGGATTAGGTTTAAGTCAGTATAGAATGAACGCAACACAAAACTCAGAAGCTCTGATCCAATTGATTTTGTTTTAACTATTAGAAAAAATCCTTAACTGCTTCTCATTCAGTCTACAGCTGAGTTTAGTATAGAAGGCAACACACTATTGCAAATATAGTGTGTGATTACACAACAAATTCTGGGGGAGAAACTCTGGACCCCGTGTCAATGGGTGTAGACTCAGGTCGGAAGTGAATGTCCCCACCAAGATTGGAACCAAACCTACACCATTGGCTAGTGCTATGACAGTGAATGCTACTAGTGCTGATGCTAATATTTCTGACGCTAATGCTAATATTGCGGATGCTAATGCTACTAATGCAGCTAATCAGTCCCTCTAGGATTTCGCAACGTTGAGATTGCAACTATGAATGCAAAATCAAGTCCGCAAAATCAGTGTCACCTTGCGACTTCTTCTAAACTTTGCAACTTTTCCACAACTTTACAGTAAAAACCCCATATTATCTGTAATTAAAGCTGGACTAACTCACTTTGTGATTTCGAAGCAGCCGTTTCAAATGTGAGCGCTGGCCTTGCTCTTTATGCTCCCATCCCCTCACTTACAAATCTTTCCCCCCCCCCATTACCCCCCTCCCCCTCAGCCTGTGCTCATGTGTATATGGAGCTCACGTCTCACAATGTGGATCGCACATTTAAACGTGGATGGCGTGACCATGGACTTTCTTTTGGCTCTTTTGCTGTGTAAGCAGTAACCGGTAACGAAGACATGGAAAGTTTCAGGTTTGCCTCCGCCATGATGCTTGATTACCGTAACGAGAGACCTGTAGATTTTCTCAAGAAAGTGGGGGCCAGTGGTCCGCTGTGATTGGTCACAATCTGGTCCCGAAACAAATTCTCTTCCGCATTGCATGAAAACTTGATCTACAGTAAAATAAAATGACACTCAGAATCAGAATCAGAATCAGAATCATTTTTATTGCCACGTAAGTAACAGGAAGTCACAGACTTGGAAATTGCTTTGGCTCAGTGCAACAGTCAGAAAGAGATAATAAAAAATGACCCTCCAGTACAAACCTGCGTTACTTATTCTTCAAAAGGACGTATATCCCAATGCACTGCATGGATATGGATTAAATTTCCCTAAAGAATACAAAAATAAAGTGAGGTAATCCAGCTTTAAGTTTGGGAGAATTACCACAGTGTTGAATGTTCTACCTAAATTCCTTTTTGTATTTCAGCGACCCTGGGTTGAGCTTTTACAATCACATGCCTCGCAAAAGTCGCTCATTTCCAAAATATATAATAAAACTATTCAGTCGTATGATGATAATTTAACATAAAAAACAAAACAAGCCAGGGAGAATGAGCTGGGATTGGCTTTTGGTCAATGCTGGTGGGATTCTGCAAGACAACTATCTGTGCCCGTTTAACCCTGATCCAGATTAAAGTTCTGTTCAGGTGCCATTATTCCAAAACAAGGCTGGCGCACATTTTTCCAAACACAGTAGACATTTGTGGTAGGTGTGGGGGCTCACCCTGTAATCTCCTACATATGTTTTTTTTATGGCCCACTCTTGGGTCATTTTGGCAAACCTATTTTCACACTATATCCTAAGTGCTTTCAAAATACATAGATGTTTCTTCTCATTTGGCAATTTTGGGTCTCCCCGATACTTTAACTTCTCAGCCACACAGTTACAGATCCTAGCATTCACCTCTCTAATTGCAAGGCGTCATCTTCTCATGAATTGGAAGTGAACAAATGCACCATGCAGCACACAATGGATACAGGAAGTTATGTCTTTTTTGAAAATTGAAAAGATTAGATATTCTAGGAGTGGTCGGACAAAGAAGTGGCAACCATTAATCGACTTTTTAGCTAAACATTAAACCCCCAATAGTTTTTGTCTGGTTTTGTTTGTGTATTATTACTTAACAGTAAAAAAAAAAAAAAAAATCTGTTTAATTTTAGCTGTTTACTTATTTTAATTGAGTAAAAAATAGAACGATGTGTATGTTTGACTTGGCCCTGTACAATCGTGTCATATCAAAATGGATATTTTGCACATCCATAAAAATAAAAATAACTTTAAAAAAAACCTTACAGAAAAAAACTTAGTAGTATGTGGCAGTCTCCCTGTCCCTAAGCACTAGTTGCGGGTGCGATCCTGTTATTCCCATGTGCAACGCTCTCCTGTGCAGAATGTTCTGGAGCACGGTGCGGTAAATGAAACACTCACGGGTCTCGCTTCGTTCTCAGTGGTCCGCCAAGAGCCCTGTCCCCTCTATAAACCCCACGGTAACCATCCTCCATGGCTCGCAGCTCACTCCTCCTCTTCCTCCTCTCCCTCCTCTCCTCCTCCTCACTGGTTCTCCTCTCTTTCAGGTCCTTGGACTCCTTCTCAGTCTCTGGACTTGCTCCTCTGTTGTCCTCAGAGACTGTGGAGCGACTGGAGCTGGACTGCCTCAACTCTGTCCGGGTGAGCTCTTACATGTACTGTGCAACTGAGCCAGGACCGAGGACCGGGTCTGAGACCGGGATCTAAGGTCTCTGGTCTCTGGTCTCTCTGGTCTCTCTGGTCTCTCTGGTCTCCTGGTCTCTGTGGTCTCTCTGGTCTCTCTGGTCTCTCTGGTCTCTCTGGTCTCTGTGGTCTCTGTGTTCTCTGTGGTCTCTGTGGTCTCTGTGGTCTCTG